AAGGTGAGGGAACATGCCAGACAGCTGGTTGTAAAGAAGAAGGTATAAGTAAAGACAGATACGGCAGGACAAGAGTCTCAGACAAGGATCCCAGTTTGAATCCCGGTGCTGTATTGGGAGGACAGAGGGCTAAGCAAATATAATGTCAGACAAGTCTTGCTTAGCGTCTCTGATCCCTGTTGCATTTATGCAGGAGGGGCTGAGAGCACGTTCTTCACAACACCAAGGAGGCCATTATTCTTGTACAGCTAAGAGCCACCAGAAATGGCGCTTGGAAAAACGGCGAGAGATCCAGAACCAGGGGAGGAAGACATGGTCTGGACCAGTGGGGAGCTCAAAATCAAGGTCATGTTGCCTAAAAGATGAGACAGCCTGTAAGAGGGGCTGTCCTCCACAAGGAAAGAGGCAGTGTCACTAGGCAAACCAAGAATATGGGTGCCCGAGGCAGGAGAGCAGGGGAAACAGCAACAAAGCAGAGTCCATGGGAAGGAGACTTCCTGCTGGATAAACTCATCCCCAATTAAGGGGCTCAGACGTTCAGCCCAGCACTCCCGGGAGAAGACAGTAGAGGATCCCTGGGGTGCCAGCTGTGATGGCTGCTTCTCGTAGACCTTATGCAGTAGGAGGCAGGTTTTCAGCCTCCCATCTCATCACATCCATGATGAGGTATCAGGACAGACTCTGGGTCTACAGGAGGAGGGGAAGGAATCAATGAAACATCCCCCATTCACAGCAGGTCCTCATGAGCTAAGGACTGACAGCTAAAGCCAGCTGCCCTCCACCACCGCTGGTCCCCAGCTCCCTCCAGCAGCCTCCTCTCGCCCAGCCTTCCCTCTGCAATGCAGCGGGGATCTTTGTAAACACATGACGTCCACTGCTCTTCATCCCAGCTTTGCTTTCTTTCCTTGGGCTCCTCATCGTGCAGGACAGGAAGGCAGGGCTGCCCCTCCCGCATCTGCTTCCAGCTGTGTAAATCTCCCTGTTAATGGGGAGAACTGCGAAGTCCTGGTGATTGTGCTTAATGCAAAACGCATGTGTCCATA